AATATATATATATATTAATTAATTAAAAGATTTTGAATCTAAGGTAAAGGAGATGACTGAAGTTAATCAAAGACTATGATATGACTATTCAATACTAACCTAGTAAGGCTAATGAGGTAGCAAATACTCTAAGTAGAAAAGTTTCTAGATTATACTCTATCAGCTTACATCTCTGCTCTCTATTTTATAACCATGTACTGCGGTGTTACTGTTGCATATACATTTTGATGTGGAAATGAATGAGATTTTATGGATGAGTTTATTTCAATTCTTTGAATATTTTTAGTAGCTCTATAGTTTGTTGTTGTTTTTTTAAGTTTAAATTGGAAGATGAAATCTAAAAAATTTTCCAAAACTAAATATTGGTATTTGTCTGTCACAGTTCAACACGTCAACCCCTATTCCATCAATTGGTCTTGTCAATTTGGCTTTTAAAGAGTTCAATGCTAATTATGACCTTATAGCTAGATAAACTTTAAATATTGGTGATGCATTTATATTAATTATTAAAGATTTTCAAGCATATGTAATGTTATCTGGATGAACAAAGAAAAAAGAGATATGCTTGTCCTTGTTGTGTGCAAAACACATAATCTTTATGTTTATACAAAGGGAAGAAATTATCCTACATGGGTCATCTTTGTTGCCATCCAGATAATCACGTACTTCATCACAAAAAATATTATTTTTATAATATAGAGAAATTTAAGAAAGAACCTTGAAGGAAGAGTGGCAGAAATTATATCATATTTACAAAATATACAATTTCCTATTGGCTTATTCACTACAGTTGATTGGAAAAGAAGATGTAATGTACAGGTGACCAAAGAATAGAAGAAAAAATTAATTTTCTATCTGGATGTTATATATATATAAATAAATAAAAAATGTTTGTGAATGTCATTATTTAGAAATTGAAATACAAAGTAAACTAAATTTTGGCGCCAACTTCTTTCATAATGCAAAAACAAGATAAAGTTGAGTTATGTGAAGTTTTTAAAATGTTTTAAGGATATGCGTTCAAGATGTGTCAGCATAACTAAATGAAAAATTATGGGCCTAAATGTCGTGATTGTCATATTCTTATAGAAGAAATTCTACTCATTTTTCTTAGATAATGTGCACCATGAGATGAGTTTATATGTATTCTTGTTGAGATATAACATCTCGTTAAATCATATTGCATGAAGTTTATCATTCTCAATGAATTAAAGATGTTACAGAATAATATTATAATGACTTCATGCCATATTGAAAAATCATTACGCTCATCATTCTTAATAATAATGGTTCATCTACTTATACATTTTAGCAGAGGAAGTCAAATTAGGTGGTCCTATTCAATACCTATGGATGTAATAATTTGGAAGGTAACTCATTTTTTTATCATTCATTAGTAATATTTATGTAAGCACTCATAGGAGCTTTTATCATTTATAGATTCTTTTTAGCCTTAAAGGACTAGGTCAATGTTGACCTATAAACCATAGACAACAGGAAAAAAAAAAAAAGATTTGTATAATGTGTATGATTTCTTTTTAATAGCCTAGTAGTTAGTTAATTCAGTTAATTTGTTTGTTGTTGGTCTATTTTATTTTCATTCCTTAATAGTACTTATAATTTATATTAAGTGCATTTTGCTATTAATTTTTTAAATATTTTTTGTAGATGGATACTAGTGATGGGCCCCCCTGGTGATCGATCAAGAATATCTTTTGTAGGTGCAAGAAGGTAAACATTGGCTCATCTTGTAGGCCTATGCTTACCGAGAGACCTCTTATTCTCAATCTACCACTAAAACTCAACAAAGTCTGCCTTTACCTACTCTTCAACTTGATTATCCCTACTTTTACTATCCAGACTCCTGCTTTCCTTCACCAGACCCCTACGTTCCTTCATTATAATGCATAGTACTCTCTTCTATCTTTACTACCCCCACAACATTCTCATGGAGTCCCTACCACTTATCTATATCCATCATGTCATTCTACAACCCACCATCACTTTAGCCTTTTGCAAGTGGACCTTAATTCCACCTTGGTTGCAGCAAAGTAGATGTTATATGGGCATATATTGATTGCACCTGAGGGTGACACGTATGTGCTTACTACAATCTGAATGCTACTAAGATAATTTGAGAAATATTTTTTCACCTAACACATTTTGTTCAAGTTTTATCCATCATAGCAGCCCACACATAAGATATGGTTCATCATATGGAGCATGTTTGATGCTCCTTATATTTCTTAGAAGAAAATTATAATGGAAGTGCACAATATGTGGTTCAAGGAGTTTGAGATTAGTTATTAGAAAATATATTCTATATTATATCTTTTTAATTAAGCTAACAAAAAATATTATATATTATATCTTTTTATATGCAAAAAAGATTATTACTAGTTGCCCGAGCACATTGATAAGATTAAAAAAAATTTTGAGAAGCATGAGTCAACTTGCTTGTTAGATATGTTTACGGACATTAAGAAGTCAGCTGAGCAATGACCTCTCTAGATTGGTGAGAGTGTATAGGTAGAGCGCTGACCAATACTTAGGGAGGATGGAACAGAATAGACAGAAATGAGCTTCTAACATTAGGGGCGTGGGTATTTTTCCTTAGACTGCTCAGTTACACTCACTGAGCACATGACACATTTGGTAAAAATTTTAATAGATTTTAATTATTTATTTAGTTAGTAATGCTAATATAAGTATATTGCAGAAATAGTTGCTGACTAGAAAATTATCCATTGTTGAGTAGCATAGTCATACCTACAAGAGGCATGAGGACCAATAATGGGTGGATGAGTGAGCTAGGAGAGCCTACGTGAGTATATTAGTTTAAAATTTTAAGTGTCATGTGTAAATTAATTAATCTTATATTAACTTTTGTACGAAGAGTATACACGACTTCAAGAGAGCTAGCTAAAGCATGTAAGGATTCCTTTATGGGATCTGTAGATTATTCTGACTACCGCACTTCATCGCAAGTAGTAGGTGGAATGCAAAAAGAAGGAGAATGATGAAAAAGATTCTGATTAGAATATATTTTATTACTGGACGAGTTAGAACTATTTGCTTATAAATTTTATGTTCCTTTTTTATTATATGACAAAACTGATATTTATTTTAATAATATTTGGTAATTATAGGATATTGCCTTTTGATCAATTGTCTTGTTACTTCAACATTAGTATTTCTATTCAATGTTTAAATTTTATGAAGATATATGTATGTTTTGACTGTATAATTGTAGGCTTGTTGTGTTGTACAGTAATTAAGAGAGAGCTTTTTTTGTTTTGTTTTTGGTACAGGTATGCGCCTGATTATCCACTAAAAACATCGATACAATGAATCACAATAAATGATTCATATGACCATATCTGTCGGTATTAATTAACGATATATTATCTATCAGAACAATGCGGCGGTTCATTCAGTGGAAATAACTGGAGGCTACACCACCGACATTTCCTGCCAAGCTTTCCTACCCGAACTTCCGGTAGACCGAAAGACTAAATTGCTGGAAAATGAACCAAAAAAAATGTAGTCTTTTTGCACTCATTTATAAGTCCACTGGTAAATTTGTCATAAAGGTTTCCGAAGAATGTTTTTAGCCCGAAAAGTATTTTTGACGCGTATTTTATTGTCGAACCATTTTTTGCCGGAAATCCGCCATAAAGACATTTTTTCCCATGCATTGCTGTCATTTCTGGTGGATTTCAGTTGACAAAAATGTGTGTTTCTTTCCTGTAGTGAGATTTGCATATGCTTTTATTTTTAATCCTTATGTGTAGTTGACGATTAACATGCTATGTTGTTTCTTTTAGTAAAATATTTGAATCTTGTATTAGAATTGTTGATCTTGCTAAGCTTTATTGCTCACCAAATATTGAACAAGTTATTATTTTTAATTAAGGGGAAAGATAAGGTTAAGTAGGATTAAGAATCAAATGTCAAATTGATTATCATGTAATTTGATATATATAGTTGTGACATAGGATATGAAGCATGATAAGGTAATGTTTATTTTGAAAGTTTATTGTTATGAATTTAAAATCTGATATTTATTAAATACTTTGTGATTTGATAAATGAAATATTTTATATTGATTCCACTTGGTTGACTCATGTTAATTATTGGATCTCTGAGTTAGGAATTAGGTTATATAATATTATTTAGTTATTATGTCGAGTTTTTATCTAATGTGTAGTTAGTCTCGTTTTTTTTAATTTGAGCCTATTGATCTTAGAATAATTTGTCTAATTTTTTTCTTCTTTTAATTTATTTATTATTATTATTATTATTTTGGACTAATGTTCCTCTAATTAGTACTTTCATCTTAGTAATAAAATTATTTTCTTTTTATAAAAATATGGCTATTTAGAATTAATGGGAACGTAAAAATGTTTTACAATAGAATTTCATCTTAGGTGTTTGGTTAAAAAGTAAGTATGATGTAATTGGATTTAACAAAGAAATGTGAATAAATATATTTTCTTATTAATAGTTTCCTATCAAATCTTATTGAAAGCAGAAAAAAATAATCGAGTTATCACTATCTCACACATTTTTTTTCATAATAAATAAAAACTCAATTTATAATCAACTAAGAAAATGATATAAATTTTTTTATTAAATTTCCCCTAATCCAATATATAAGTGGTGAAAATAATTTTCTATATAATTTCTTTAGCATTCCATTTCATTTTTATCAAATTCTTCAAATAATACAAAGCCTAAAAGTACACACTCAAATTATTTTACTTTTTAAACCCCCTCCAAATTCCATAGAACAATAATCATTCCCATTATTAAAACATAAATTACATTTTTACCAAGCTTCACATATAGAGAACACAAGCTCACTTATTATTATTATTATTATTATTTTGGATAAAACCCACTAACGGTAATATTAAAGGAAAAATACAAGTTTTTGCTTTTTTTTTGGATAAAACCCACCGACGGGCTCACTTTTTATCATCTACCCTTGCATCAAATTAAGTATGCCTACTAGCCATTAGAATTAGTGGATTCTTCTTCTTTAATGTAGACCCTTTAAACTCCTCCAAATCTATGTCCTCCTTGCTCATCCCTTGAATCAAATCCCAATTAAAGGCATAAAGAAGGTTTGCCAATGCAATCTCCATAAATGCCATCCCCATATTCATCCCTGAGCACATCCTTCGACCAGAACCAAATGGTATAAGCTGGAAATCTTGCCCCTTCGTATCAATAGAGTTATTTATGAATCTCTCGGGAAAAAACTCTTCTGGCTTTTCCCAATAAGTTGCCTCCCTACCAATAGCCCATGCATTGATAACTATCCTTGTTTTGGGTTGAATATCATACTCGTCTACTTTAAATCCTCTTTTGGCTTCATTGGGAATAAGTAGAGGACCAGGTGGATAGAGCCTTAGTGTCTCTTTTAGTATCATTTTGAAATAGTGTAGATGTTGAATGTCTGTCTCTTCTACTTTTCCTTTGTTCTTGACAACACTTCGCACTTCATTTTGAGCCTTTTTCATGATTTGTGGATTCCTAATGAGCTCTGCCATTGCCCATTCTAATACTAACGATGGAGTATTTGTTCCTCCAATGAAAATGTCCTAAAAAAAGAAATATAAATAACTTCTTCAATTAATATACTTGCATTGTAATAATTCTTCTTAAACATAAATCTAAAAGTATGTTATTTTATTTTTCTTCAATGTACCATGTTATATATCAAAAGAAACTTATATGACTATTATGCTTAGTAATCAAATCCTCAAATAACAGATCAAGATGAGTTATATAAAAATATATTTAAAATATACTAAGCACGATAATAATAATTTCTTATCATATTCAATTACTTTAATTGCTAGACTATCAACATAAAATTTTAATTTCTCACAATAGGAAAATCGCGTGCTACCGATTGTCAAAATTCTTTTTACCCGTAGCATCTGATGTAACCATGTTTTCATAAAAAAATGTAGGGAAATTCTTAATGCTTGGTAAGATTTTAGCTTTGTTTGGGATGACTTTTTTGCTATTTGTAAAGTTGTTGTAAAGAAAATAACTTTTTATAATTGTTGTAAAAATCAATTTTCTAGTAAAAAAAAATTTTTAAGCAGCGAAAGAACATTAGCCAAATAAAAATTGTGGTTGATATTTGAAAAGAATAGTAAAAAAAATTGTCCTAAATAAAGTTTTTGTCTTTTATTTTTTTATTTTTATTTTTTTTTGCTAGACATTAATCAATAAACTTATAAGCTATTATATTTTATAAGACAAAATAAATTTTAAAAAAAATTGAATAACTTTTTTGTAATTGAGAAGAAGAAATTAATTTGGAAAAGTATATGCTACCAAATTCATTTCAACTCACGATTGCATATTTATATATATATATATATATATATAGAGAGAGAGAGAGAGAGAGAGGATTATTTTATTTTAAGATTAATATATATATAATAAGTTAAAAGGGCTTTTTCTATTGTGACTATTAAAAAATTAACTACGAAATTGAATACGAGATTGGTGGATGAATGATATTTTAATTACTTATCTTATAAAATAGACATTAATTGAGTGTTATGCTAGGGTTTTCTCCTTGAGCGTTCTGCTTAGTTTTTTCTCCAGTCGTCTTCAATTCTTTGCTAGTGAGCTCCCTGCACCTCTCGGAAGATTTTTTTTTGTTATGTTCCTGCTTTCTGAGATTTAGGCCGTTCTCTTATTGGTTTTTAGTTTTCATGATGGTTGTCCCCCTGCCTAGGGTTTTTTTCGTTAGTACAGCAGTTATTCGTGTTTCGCTTTTAGATCCGGGCGTGAGAAAATAATTTTTTACTTTTTATTTAAAATGCTTTAATTCCCACTGTGGGCTCCGAAAATTCGGCCCCGGTCTCAGCCCGCACTGACTATGCTTTTTATTTTGGACGAGGAAGAGTTTTAACAAAATAAAGTTCCTGGGTGAATTTTGGAAGGCATATGGGTTTATAAATAAGACACTACCGAGAGATTTCGCCCTCATTTTGCAAGGACTTTATGAACTGAGTTCTGGTTTCCAATAGGCGCAATGCCCCTATAGTTAATTACCCCTCCCGATCACGAGAGAGAACTTTCGATTAAGGCTAGTCTTCAATCAGATACGTAAGTGATACGTGTTATCTAGCATATAGTAGCAGCAATGGTTTTGAAAATTGGAAGCTTGAAGGTTTGAGAATTGGATTTGGATTTGAAGATTGATATTTAAAATAGAAATTTTCACCATCTTTTACTTAAAGCGGATGGTGGGGGAATGGATGATAGACCCAATCAAGATCTCATGGTTCCATCATCCCGGGCCATCGTGGTCCTTGGCCTACTTACTCAGAGGAGGTAGTCGACCCAACCTGATAGATGGATCATTGTCGGCAGCTATGGGTTGCTTCGTCTAAGGGAACCTTGTAGACCTAGAGTGAATATTTGCCTAAAAGGAAAAATTTGAATCCACCTTAACTAACAGAGGGCTTTGTACCCTATCGATCATATCCTATTGATTCATGTCTCAAGGATTTGATTTCACTAAGGAGCGTATTGGCTCTAGCCATAACCAGTATTTTGTGGTGCCATTTAGCGGTAAAACCACTCAGTTTAGAATGCCCCAGGTCATAACCGTTTATCCTACAGTGCCATTTGGTGGAAAAACTACCGGTTAGAGGACACGTACCACGTCCTTATTGGCAGGAGATTGGTTGAAAATTGATCCTAGTGATATTTTCGATTAGACATTTGACTCTTTGTGAACTGAAGTAGTTTTTAATTTGTCCTCCTCGACAAACTATTACGGAGGGCGGATGGATTTTGCTTTAAGCATGTGATGATTTATTTTCACATTTAAATATCTTAGAATTTATTGGCTTTTGGACTTTATGGAGTTTTGGATTATTTGGAATGGACCCTCCGATTGAGATTTTCGTTCAACACAACCATCATCGAGGTGTTCATGGGGTCATTTATCTTTTGTTGATTGAATCTTGTCAACTCTATCGAATTATCGATAGAGGATCAGATTTCGTAGGCTTTATTCCCTTGTTAGTAAACTCTTATTTATTGTAGGCCTTGAATGCCTAATATGAATATAAAATAAATATGTCAGTCGACCTCGTGACCGAATATTCATTTAAGATTTCTACCCTTATCAACTCCCGCTTGTCTGCATAGGAGGATCGGGATCGAACTTAAATTCACTTACTAACCCGCGCAGCATCTCTAGACGTCACGTGTGTACCAATAACATGCTCACCGGGGCCATTACGGGTGTTTGGGGGCATTTTATAATTGAACCCTGTCAACTCCTTTTATATACTTAGAAGGATCGGGTTCAAATTTAATAACCCGCGTAGCAACCCTAGATGTCACGTGTGTACCAACAACACGCTCGTTGGGGCCCTTGCGGGTTCTATGATTGCTTTTATTCCTTTTAGTGTAGCTATGTGTATACAAACTATGGTGCACTTGTGCGGGGGTGTTTTAGACATTCGACGGGCCTTTCATGATGGCTCGTAGAAGTCTATCTTTGTCGTAGTCTTTTCAGCATTTGCTTGCAGACAATATGTTGGATGCACGACTACTGTTCATCAAGAAACTTCCAAGCCTCCATAATCTTATCCAACTCAATGTTCATAACTTAGTTAAATTGAGATTCACTCAATCTTGATTTGATCTGGCTCTCTCTTTCCAGAACTAGTATAGAAATCAACAAGTGATTTATCAATTATGTCGTCTTCCTTGTTTTCTGTTGTTGGCTTGAAGAACCAATCACTTCTATCTTGGATGATTGTATCCTTACCAATGTCTTACACTTTGAAATCAGTAACCACTACTTTGAATCAATAACTTACCATTTTAACTACATTACTAAATTTTGACATATTGAATGTGGAATGGCTCTTTGGTATCAACTTATGATCATCAGCTCATAATGTGTTATCATCCACTTTGATTTGCAAATATGTTACCGTGCCTATATCACAGAATAATCCACTATAGATATTTTGTATTCATCCGTAGATAGCACGCCACTGTTGACCTCTACAACCAACCCAGGAATCTTAAATTTGATAAAGAGAATTCAGCTTGAATATGGATTGTATTGGGTTTTATTATGCACTGGTGGAAGAAGCAATCAAATGGGGAACATCTAGCTCATGTTAATGGAGTTGATTTGTACAGAAACATTTCTCTTCTATCTATAGTGGGCTATGACAGTATGGGAAAGACAACTCTCCTACAACATGTTTATGAAGATGAAATGACAAAGGAATTTGATCTTAAAATGTGGGTTTGTGTTTCCAACAACTTTGATGTAAAAAAAAAAAAAGAAAAAAAGTCATTACAGATATGTTGGAATTTCTTAAGAAGGAGAGGACTTGTTTAGGGACACTTGAGACACTTCAAGATAGTCTTCAGGCTAAGATCATGTCCAAAAATTCTTACTTGTGCTGGATGAAATTTTAGAGGATGATGAGAAGCAAGATAAAAATAAATGAGAAAATGCTCTCGCTCCTCTGTCTTTTGAAAGTTTGGAAAGTAAAATTTTGGTAACAACTCGAACGGACTCGGTTGTACTAATGTTTGCAGAGGTAATCAAAAAAGGAAGAGGAAATAGTTAAATGAATAAGTTTAGAGAAAGACGAGTGATTGCAGGTCCTCAACTCTCATGCATTTGCTGGTGTAAAGAACCCTTTATGATGATCATAATTTTTTTTTTAGAGATAGTAATAAAAAAAAAGAGAGAGAAGGCTCTTAAAATCTCCATTAACAGCTAAAGTCATTGGTGGTGTTCTGAAGGGCAAATTGGATGAAATGGTTTTGGAAGGCAGCTTTAGAAAGCAACTTATTTGAGTCAGAATTCTATCAATTCCATTTTAAGACTAAGCTATAAAGTTCTACAAAATCATCTAAAAAATTATTTCGCATTTTTGTTGTATGCTTCACAAGATCATACGTTTGATAAAGATAATTTAGTCTGAATGTGGACTTCGCAGGCCTCCTGAGAATTGGCTTCCCACATACACAAAAGTTCCCCAGCCTGTTTTCCTCCTTCCCACTACGACCGTCCGCCCCCTCCACTTGTCCGACGAACAGATCTCCTCTCTGTTTACCCAGGCTAGAACCACCTTTTGGTCAAGTTCTGGTCGTTTGTCTTCTTCCCCACGTGAGAGTATACAAACTCTTGATCCAGCCACGGCCTACTAAAAGTTCTTAAATTCTTTCCCCAACCATTGAGGCTAGCCAACGCAAACTTCTCTTCCGCTTTCTCTGCTAGCCACAAACCACTTCAGATTCTGTCTCCATAAACCACTTCAGTGTTCTAAGGCTTCGTTTGGGACGACTTTTTTACTGCTTTTTAAAACGGAGTTTTAGTACAAAATTTTTTATTTTTGTACTAAAACTCCGTTTTAAAAAGCAATAAAAAAGCCGTCCCAAACGAAGCCTAAGTCATGGCCGAAAGCTTCCTAAAGTTTACAATAATGAGTACAGTTTTTGTTATTCACGTGAATCACATTGTCCTTTGCCATTACTT